TCTTCTGAAATGTTTTTAAGATTGCACAGGCCGGTAGATGTAATTCACATCGCTTAAAAGAATGGCTCGTCTACTCAAACGCGAATATGTACTGAAATACAACATTTCAGTATACATACATACACACACACACACACACTCACATACACACACATATATATATATGTATGTATACTTAAATGTTGCCTTTCAGTAGATACACGCTACATACATATATATATATATATATATATATATATATATATATATATATATATATATATATATATATATATATTCGACTCTCCAGTCGTATTTGACGTATGAGGGTCAAGCAGATCAGTTCTTAGGAAACCGATAGCATGACACTAGCACATGAGATTTCATGACAGTGGGTGAGGTTTTGTGTATAACCAACCACACTTTTTAAATAGCCGAATACAAGGTTCGGGGGCACTACATGCCACAAGGCCCCCAAATGACCCTCCACAGGTTTTGAATTCAGAGTTGTCCTTCTCCTAGTCCAGTTACCATCCAAGTCTATAGAACCCAGTGTGCCCTCTTATTTACCAATAGCTGGAGGGAGAAGAAGATGATTCATACCTTTCCCAAGGATAGTAGCACATAAGTGAATGTAAGTGTTTTGACTGGAATTATATATATATATATATATATATATATATATATATATATATGGTGGGGTGTAAGTTTATTTTTGTATTTATGTGGGTGGGTGTAAGTGTATGTTTCTATGTTTTTGTGTATGTGTGTATTTTATTTATGCAGATTCCTACATACATATGACAATATCGGTAGCCGCTATGGCCAAACTAACGACATAGAAAATGGAATCGGTGATCCGAATTCAAATTCCGCCCCACTTTATGGCGTTCATTTCGCGGTAGTTCTCTTCGGAAAGTCATAAATCGGCACCTTCTTCCCATCGCCACCGTTCCGTTCTAAATCCAGTGTCGAGATATCAGTGTGAGCCAATCGAGGTGAAGTTCAACTCCAAATTCCAACCTTGGAGATAGCAACGGGAAGTCATCGATATTCACAGCTGTTTCAAAACGATTTCAAACAATAAAATCTGTGTATAGCCTATATTTCTGAGTTGAGGTATTATGTACACTATATACATTATTCGGACTAATGTCCTCATCTTTGTCGCCATATTTATTACAACGTTTCGGTCGTTGTACCCTCTGGTCTTCTTCAGGTGGTTGGAATGTCGAACTGAACCCTTTATTTTGCTCACTGGTGTAGACAGTTTTAGTTCCACATGACATGTTTAATGGATGCCAGTTATCAATTATTTCCTTTTGATTCCCCTCTGAATGTTCTCCACTGCCTTAACTGGGTATTGAACTTACATTCTCTGGGCCCTGTCAATGGATCTAACTAACGCCTTTATCCACTGTTCTAGGTCCACGTGCCATGTCTAATGGATGTCAATTATCAGGAATCAGCACATATGCTAGGCCACAAAAACCTCCTGAATCAACCAAGCATAGAAATGAATAGAATATGGGAACAAGTAATAAGTAGTGCCAGAGAAAAGTAATAATATCAACAAAAATTGCAAAATGAGCTCTGGTAAAAACATGTATTGATAACAGCAAAAATTTCAATATGAGCACTGGTAAAAAATTGTTGCTGAGACATTAAGTCTATAATACCCAGAAATTCGAACACAATGCACAGTGGATAAAGTCGTTGGTTAGATCCAGTGACAGGACCCAAAGTCTGTGAGTTCAATACCCTGTTAAGGCAGTGGAGAACTTTCAGAGGGAAATTAACAGGAGATAACTGATAACTGACACCCATTAAACATGGCACGGGGAACTAGAACAGTCTACCCTCGACATTCCAACCACCTGAAGAAGGCCGGAACGTACAAACGAAACGTTGTAATAAATATGGCAACAAAGATAAGGACAATAGACCCAATAATGTAAATAGTGTACATAATACATCATCTTAGAAATATAGACATATAATGAAAGGCCAAAACGTTGTAATGAATATGGCGACAAAGATGAGGACAATAGTCCGAATAATGTAAATAGTGTACATAATACCTCATCTTAAAAATATAGACAAATACTGAAAGGCCGAAACGTTGTAATTACTATGGCGACAAAAATGAGGACAATAGTCCGAATAATGTAAATAGTGTACATAATCCCTCATATCAGAAATATAGACAAATACTGAAAGGCCGAAACTTTGTAATAAATATGGCGACAAAGATGATGAGAATAGTCCGAATAATGTAAATACTGTGTATAGCCATGGACATGTCCGCCTCGGAGAAACATCTCATTAAAAATCTATAGTAAATAATATATTAAATGCCCCCGAGTTTCTAAATTGCGGTTTCTGTTGAAATGAAAGAACATTTGCTCGATCATAAACTGTAAAACGTTCGAAGATTTTTCGGTAGAATTTCCTGAAATATGTTTTATCTGCTTTAAATTATGGCGATTTATTTCGCTAATTTATTGTTCTAAAACCCATGGGATCGAGTTATACCGGAGGCATAGATCTCAATTTGAGCTCAACTTTTAGACAAGTGCAAGTGATAAATTAAGAATATCATCAGGGAAATTATTATGACTGAATGTTTTCGTAATTCCGATTGATAAAACCTGATTTTAGTTTTAGTCTATTTTTTTTCTTTTTTAAACCTGGCGCTTTATCTATACGTTTAAATCGAGTTGTGGTTCTTTCGCCGGCAGACTTTATTTAAAAAAACAATTATTTCATCTCCTTGAAGTAATTATTATATAGTTATGGATATTATTTCAATTATAAGCTCTAATCTTATTGTTCCGCCCATTAGGAATAAAAAAAAATGATTTGATGTTGCAGCCTGTTTTAAACATGACCAGATACATGATTAATAAGGAACACGATATTTTAATAATCACCTTAATTATATTGAGAGAAATTTTAGTTTGCAGTGATAGCGGCCACACAAACATACATCTTTAAATGTGGGTGCGTATTTGTAATGGTAATTGTCGTATTAACCATTTCCCACATGGAAATATTTGTTGACCGAGCAGCCAGTACTATAGCTGGTTAAAATTTAAAAAAATTTTTGCCTTAAAATAATTCTTCAGAAAAATCGGTCCAGTAGCTGTTATCACTCTTTCCAGTATTGATGGAGGTTTCCTTTCTAACCTTTTATTTCAAGTAGTGTGGAATGTCAACATCTTGATTATGTCATTATTTTCTCTCCTCAAGCCAAGTAGCTTTTATCACTCTTTCAAATATTGATGGAGGTTTCCTTCCTAAACTTTTATTTGAAGTAGTGTGAAATGTGAACATCTTGATTATGTCACTATTTTCTCTTCTCAAGCCCAGTAGCTGTTATCACTCTTTCAAGTATTGATGGAGGTTTCCTAAGCTGGGTGAGGTGTAGCGACTCGACAAGAAGAAGAAAAAAATTCCAGTCATATTCTTACCCAGAACATTCGCGAAGAAACTCCCGGGAGGATGCTTTCCCGGTTAATACGATTTTAACCCCTTCAAATGTAGACTCGACAGTTATCTAGCCTAAATATCCTCTTAATATGCACTAATTACTATCTAGTTTTACGCCCTTATTATGCAACATTATATATTGATTGGCTACTGGGCCTTTGTGTTGATTTTTGTATATCTTCTCTTTTAGTTTTTGTATACAAGAATCCAATATCCACTTCATTTTTTGTTTGCTCTCGCAAATCATAAGGCCAAGAGCTTCAAAACGTTGGAATTTGGCTCCCAAAAAAATATTTACTCATGGCAAGTTGTATATTGCATGCTGGGAAGTAAGAAATCCTAAGAATTCATTCCTGTTAAAAATGAAAACGCAAAAGCAGTAAATTAGCTTTAAACAAATTGTTTACGATGAAATTCTATAAAATTAAATTCAACTAAAGAAATTATAAAAGCGTGAAGGATGGTTTTTGTCAACGTATTCTCCAAACAAATCAGCTTATTTAAATTTCATCGATTGTTTGTGAAACTACACGAAAATCTCGATAAAAATGTTAGCGATAAGTTATAAGTAATACTAAATACAATGACGATTTTAACAACCGTCAGAGTTTTGCAAAAAAATTAGTAACCCGGATATAAGAGACCCGGATATAAGAGAAACCCGGATATAAGAGAAACCCGGATATAAAAGAGATTTTCTCTGGTCCCAAATTAGAGCCTGTGTTAATGTATATAAAATAGACCAAACCCGGATATAAGAGAAACCCGGATATAAGAGACTTCTTCTCCGGTCCCGACAACTCTCTTATATCCGGGTTCTACTGTATATAAAAGGTCAAAACGTATTAAATATTTTTTTTTACCTTCTTCTAACTTCTAGAATTACAGAAATCACAGTTAAAATATCTGTTTAATTTTCAACGCTTTCTAATTTTTGGCACTTCAATTTAAGATTGCATTTGTTAAAATTACTGAATATTCAACATATCGATATCATAAAATATTACGCGTGAAATAAAATGATTCCGCCAAGGGATTTAATAACAAAAATAAAGAATGATAATAAAAAGAAATAAAACAAAAACACTGACTCGTAATATTCCTTTCAAAATAAGATAATGATGAAGTAAATATTAAAAAATGTAGACAAAATTATGATTGTGCAGAATGGCGCCTTTAAAATCAAACACGCTTTTTCAATTTCGTTTCTCTAATTCATAACTGAAGGCAAACATGGAGACTCGCAGAAATTTGGTTTCAAATATTTGCGCTAGATCTGCATTTCTTTTAATAATTGCAGTTGGCCTACAGTTATCGATTGCGTCTTCGTAGCAATTAAGCGACAATATAGATTTTCCGTTTATCTCATGAACACCCATCTTTATCCAACGGGATGTGTTATTTACGCAAGCGATAAATTGTTAGGTCGATTTATTTAACCCATGGCGATAGTATTGTCAGCTTTTACGAGAAAAATCTTCATGACGATTGTGAATTTGTGCTTGAAATCACCTAGGGCGTTTACCTAGATGAAATGGATTGTCTATATTCTCTATTTCCGCTCACTTACTTATCTATCTATCTATCTATCTATCTCAGTATGTTCATATCTATCTATCTATCTATCTATCTATATATCTATCTATCTATCTATGTACACGGGCGAAAATAAGTTTAAGACTGATGGTTAAAGATCTATTAATTTCAGAATATGTTTTCTAATAAAACAATAGAAATTAGTTTTATTGTGTACAATTTATCCAGAATTTATTTCTCTTTTTAATGGTGTAAAAAAAAATTTGTATATTTTTCTACAACTTGAAAAATTTTAATGCTCGATTAATTTAATTTATCCAAATTTGCCGACAAAATAAGTTTAAGACCGCATGGTTATGATGCAAATAATTTGCTAAATGGGTATTCACATGGCTGGTCATTAATGCATTATATAGTGTAATAACTGATGATTGTTATATAATTAATTCACTATGGGAAAGCATACTTGTCTTTGTCCAGTGACTAGATCAAAAATAGTGTTACTTTATCAATAAAACGTTTCTTTTATTAATATAAGTAAGCAACTAAAAGTTAGCAAAACGGCTTGTGTTCAGAATTGGAAGCTTTTCCAGGATACTGGATAATATAAGGATAGCCAAAGATTGGGACCCCCAAGAAAAACAACAGTGAAACGGGATAGACGAATTCATAACCTTTCCGAAGCTAACCGAATGCTGATGGCCGTGGACATTTTCAGCCAATTATCAGGTAAAACTAGCGTTACATTTACACCGCAAGCTGTCCGAATCTGTCTAAGAGAATATGGATTATTTGGGAGCTTTGTTTGAAAAAAAAAATTATTTTGGAGAGGATTCGACTCAAGGGTCTGAATTTTGCGAAAAGTCTCATTCAATGGACGGCCAACGACTGGTGTAGAGTCCTTTGAGTGACGAGTCACGCTTTTGCATCTTTGGATTGGATGGAAAAACCTTTGTCAGATGACATCAAACCGAGGAATTACATGCTAAATGTGTCAAAAAGATGGTGCAAGCGGGAGGTGGTGGTGTAATGGTCTGGGGTGCAGTCGGTAGCTTTGTTATTGGCCCAATTGTTAAACTTGATGGAAAATTCAACAGTGTAGGCTATATGCAGTTATTTAAGGAACATGTTCTGCCATATTTAACTGACCAAATGCCGCCTGGAGCTATTTAACAATATAAAGCCAGATTCACAAGGCCAAAAAAGTAATGCAATTTCTTGATCCCCAAAATATGAATGTCGTTGGGTGGCCTCCATAGAGTCCGGATCTTAATCCGATTGAAAATTTATGGAATTATATTTCTAAAAGAGTTCTCGTCAAATTTAGCCCAATTATACGATTATATGAAGCAAATATGGCAGAGCATTCCAAATAATTATTGTGCTAACTTATCAAGCTGTAAATAATAATAATGGTTCCGGCACTAAATATTGATAAATATTTTGGGTTTTAGGGCTTATTTTACTATAACATTTGCTTTTAATACACGTGCGGTGTTAAACCTATTTTGCCGGCAAATTTGGATAGTTTAAATTCATCGACTATTAAAATTTTTCAAGTTGGAGAAAAATATACAATTTTTATATCATTCGAAAGAGAAAAAAAAATTCTGCATGAAGCGTACACAATAAAACTAATTTATATTGTTTTATTAGAAATATATTCTGAAATGAATAAAACTTATTTTCGCCAGTCTATCTATCTATCTATCTATCTATCTGTCTTCATAATTTGTCCTAAAATAATTAGCTGCTTGTTGCCTGTATTGCGATGTGTTCGTTCTATAATTTTTTTCTGATCGGCTTTGTTTTCATGGCCACTTTATATCACGTAGATATAAATAATGCAGTAAGATTTGATTTAAAAGTGAAAAAAGTTATTTTGAACAAGCCACGTCAAATATGTCATGGCGAAATAAAGAAAGTTTGAACAAATAGCGAATTTTTGAAATTATTTCTTCGACAGAAAGCGAATTATGTGTTGATAATTATATGTTGCTAATTATATGTTGCTAAGCTGCCTTCTCTATTTTGTTTCATATCCCCAGTAAATCTTCATCCGCCTATCGGTTTCATTCAACCATGTTATAGAATTCTAGTGAATACAGTATCTATCTATCTATCTATCTATCTATCTATCTATCTATCTATCTATCTATCTATCTCGGTCTGCTCATATCTATCTATCTCATTTGCTCTATTATCTATCTATCTATCTATCTATCTATCTATCTATCTATCTCAGTCTGCTCGTATCTATCTATCTATCTATCTATCTATCTATCTATCTATCTATCTATCTCAGTCTGCTCATATCTATCTATTTATCTCAGTCTGCTCATATCTATCTATCTATCTATCTATCTATCTCAGTCTGCTCATATCTATCTATCTAGCTATCTGTCTGCTCATATCTATCTATCTAGCTATGTGCATTTGTACAAATCTACATGGCTATATTTCAGCTTCTACGTATATTTCGCCCTTCTTCCAATGGATATCGCTAGTTTCAAATTGATTTCGATCAGTCGTTTCATAATCAATTTATACTTTTTTATTTTATCCGAATCTTGCTTCAAAATGCCTCATGCTGCGAACATTCTTTTATCCTTTGTCCAGATGAAATAATAATTCAAGTCTCTGCGTGTAATCAAAGAAACTTACTTTTCACAACTGAGTTTCAGATCGAATATTTAAAACATCAGTTCAAGAAGGAAAGGAATGTCACTGTAATTTCCATTTTCTTAAAATGTCGATATCTATCGAATACATAACACAGTTTTCAGAGAAGTTGTTTGAATTACTTCACCACAAGTAAGGCAATAAAGCCACTAAGATGAACAGATTTGCTCAGTGCGTGTGAATTCGAGAAAATATAAAACATTATTAAGAAGACATGACAATAAAAGAAGAGCAATTAAGAAGATAGAAAATAACAATTGATATTGCATTTAAATTTTTGAAGATCAAAGTTGACTGGAAAACAAGAAGCTGCAAGAAAGTTCCTCAAGCGAGAAGTGCGATAGAAGAAACTGCTAGCATAGAACTTACGGTTACATTTATACATTTCGACTGTAAAATAATGAAAACTTGACGCCAACGTAGTACAGTGCTTAAATTCATAAAGTTTAGATACCAAAGATATGAAAGTTACCGGTATTCATGAATATTTCATAAATTTTCTCAGGATGATAAAAGTTTGCACACAAGATCAGGTTACGTCAATCTGCACATTATTGACAGTTTGTGTGTACTTTTAAAATCAACCTGGTTTGAACGATGACACAAGTGGGAAAATGCAAATGCTATAGTCACCAAGCAAACCTGAATGAATAATGAGTAACTTTTACTTCATCTATCATCATTTTAAATAGAGGCAAAACATAATTTGTTACGCTAATCTACTCATTAGGGAGACGTACATCTCATGGAAATCAGTATTTAAATGCCTAACAAGCAGGGACGTTGACTGATTGTAAAACCAATAAGAAGACGCACATGAATCTCTCTCTCTCTCTCTCTCTCTCTCTCTCTCTCTCTCTATATATATATATATATATATATATATATATTAGGTTGTAGCCCATTTTTGTATCGAACTGATCCTAGGGACTTGGAGATTGACCCCCATAACAATATGTTATGGGAACTTACCCATAATAATAATGGACTATTCTTGACATTATAAATACTGCATCTCTCAAGAGGTATGAGGAGATTGTAAGATGAGGAGAGATAATTGAGAGCATATTGTAAGGACATTGGAATAGTGATACTTGTCGAGACAACATAGTTCACTCTAACCAAATCTGATAGTCATTACTAATACTTCTACTTCTTTGTATTATATTTCTGTTGTACTATATCTTTGTATTCCATACCAGTGTTCGTGTTATTCTTTCATTGGTTCTAACCTTGAACCATCACCGTGCTACAAGGAACTTGGACCATAACACAATATATATTCTGAAACTACATTACCCAGGGTACTTAGATAATATATTTAATTTTGATCAAAGAGGGTCTCCTACTGATTTTTCTCTTTTGATTTGAATTAAATTTAAATTTGAACAAGGGAATGACTCTTATCTAAAATATAGAAGGGGAAAGCCAGAAGATGGAGGTTACATCGGCAAGATCAAAATGAAACAATATGGAAGTCAAGTTGAGCAAGAAATCATAAATCAGTGGGTAGTGCCTTGCAATTCTTATTTGTTGTGACAATTAACCTGTCATATCAATGTTGAAATCTGCTCATGAATTCATTTAATCAAGTATTACATTAAATAAATATCAAAGTGGTCAGTTCAAGCTGTTTTTGCAAACTCCCAACGGAAATCTTGCTTATCATGTCCCACAAACAACAAATTATTTGAATCTTCTTCTATGTGCCTTGGCCCTTCAAGACGCTAGCGATCATGACTCTCCATAATTTCCTGTCTTTTGTAGCTGTTAATAAATTTTGTCCTTTTGTAATCTCTCCTAATACTTATTCCGCTATCTATTCACTCAAACGCGCTAGGTAGGTTATGTGTTGCTTTTCCTCCGACCTTCTTGCCTTCAATCTATCCTGTGAGTATCAAATTTTCCAAACCCTCTTTCCTCATTATGTACTGTTTCTAATGTTTTTTATAAGTGTCCTTTTTGTTCCCATTTTATCTAAAACTACGTCGTTGCTCACGTGATGGTGTTCTCAGTATCCTTCTGTATAACCACATTTCTGTTGCTTGAAGTTTCCTCTTCATCTGTGAGAAGATGTCAAAGTATTCATTGCAATTGAAGGGGGTTGATTAATATTACGGCAGTTCAGTTTCTTATTTTCTAACTAGGTTTTTATTGTTTCTTAATACTTTGCTTAGCTTTTAGAAAACATCTTCGGAATTCAGTGTCGTATTTTCTGCCTTCTGTTCAAACACTTCCCAGATATTTAAATTGTGGTACAAGGGCTTTCAGAAAAAAAATTGATATTATGATCTATGTACACCATTTCCCCACAAACGTAGAGGAGCTGGGACTGGGAATCATTGCCGGAATGGAAACTGGTACTTGATACATGCTGCAACATGTTTGACAAGTCCTTGACCACTGGCTTCACATGTGTTGTGTCGCAGGCATGTTGAAATATTGCTAAACCGTTTATGAAAAATATATATATATATATATATATATATATATATATATATATAATTTAATTTTAATAAAAATAAACCTGTTCAGTTTCATTTGCCTCTCAAATGGTATCAATTTTTTTTTAAAAATCCTATATTCGTAATTTTTTTTATAAGCAGCTCATTTTAGTGCCATATGTGATACACGCTACCGATTCATGAATTAGACAGATTTTCCCGCTGTAGGTTGCTTTTTCTTTCTGCGGTAGACTGGTTGCTAATCAAGGCTACAGCTGGTCTTGTTATTCAACCCGTAGATAGCGAAGAAGAAAAATGAATGTATACTCCTCCCAAAAGTATTTGCGCGTCAGGGAAATTTAACGAAGACGAATGGAATACGAGATCAACTCAACAATTTCTCATTTGGAGCCGATATTCATGACATCTCAGTGCACAGTACCCGGAGATGAAATGAATATTTATAGCGCGTGAGAATCTGTTTACACAAATATGTCAGTATTAGCTAAGTACATTTATTCTATTATTTTCGAGACGAAATCATTTATGCAATAGAAAACATTATCATTTATACAATTATGACTTTATTTTCATTGGTTGTCTATGTCCTTACACCACTTTTCAGATGATCCTATAGAAACTGCTGAAACATTATCGGGAGAAAACCTCACATCATGTGCATCTTCCCATGATATTTTCTAAAAAGAAACAAATATTGTCATACTGTAAAAGCACTTATGACTTTCTTGCTAATTAAAGTTCACTCAGTTTCCAATCAATAATGAAAGGGAGCCCTCCTGATTTGCGAAGTAATATTTTCTTCAGTTTACGAGAATTCATAATTAGAAAATTATTTTTAAATTAAGATAAACATGTAGAAGTATTCTCTGCCAAGGGATTCTGTTCAGGATGAGATTTCAAAATTATTTTGAACTAGCTGTATAAATGTCTTTGACCGGGTCTTTCAGTACTGGAAATTTTTGCCGTTCAGTTGGACCAGTTTAAGTATAAAGTCAGACCACCCGAAAATCAATATTTGTAACAATATTTGGGTGCAACTGAGGCACATCCCCAAATGAGGATGTAACAATTGAATGGGGGCTGTGGCCCTGAAAAGTGAACGGTATAATAATAAATAATATTATTGTAGTAATTTAAACTATTTATTTTTATTATGGTTTTCAGGGAAGATATATATCCAAGAACAGATAGCAAATAGTAAAATATTGCTGAGAATTATGATGGACAGGAAGTAGTGGAGAGCCATTGTCACCAATAATTTAAGCTCAACACCGGCAGTGAAGAATTATCTATCAAACAAAAAATTTCATCAAAATCGGATGAAAAGAATGGAAATTCATAAACAACATCCGATCACACACATACATACATTTTGAGAATTGTAGATATAGTTGTAGTCATCATCATCATCATCATCATCAACAGCAGTAGCACAAACAGATGTATAACCGCCATCATCTGTCCCATGCCCGGGTGTGGTCATAGGGTCGATGCGTATCTGAGCACTTGACCAGTTCATTCGATATTCTTTGGCATGTATTCACTTATGCGTTGCCTGGTGGTGGTAATTACTCGCCGGGTCAAACCATAGCCGATGTCCAACTTGAAGGCTCGCCATATGGCCGTTAATTTGACTGGAGCAAACCATTAAGCCAGGCCGGTGATTTCACTCTATGACGCACCCTTCGCTCAGCGAAGCCTCGTCCCCACCCAGGAGTTCAATCTCGTGCAGATTTAGCATTGAGGGAGGTCGTAACTGGATCTAGTTGAGCAAAATGATTTCTATTTATTATAATTAGAATGAAAAATTCATAGGTATGTGGATTCCATGAACGATCTAACAAATTTTCAACATGCCTGCGACACGGCACACGTGAAGTCAGTAGTCAAGTCCCTGCCAAACATGTTGCAGCATGTATTAGGTACTAGTATAGAGGACCGGGGCGGGGAGGGGGTGAAGATGGCAAGAAAACTCGTGCGTCTCTATTTCCTGCTAGAAGAAGGTCCATATACAATAGAATGTTGGACTCGGATTAACTCCAACTTCTAAAGAAGACAAACAAACAAGACTGATATATATTAAAACAAATCTGTGTATTAACAACAAATTACAAAGTACATAGACAGTTAACATTGTGTTTGTGTTTAAACATTTGTGTGTGTGTGTGTGTGTGTGTGTGTGTGTGTGTGTGTGTGTGTGTGTGTGTGTGTGTGATCGTTCGTACTTTGGTGAATGTTATATTGGACAAGCTCCTAAATGTTCGTATTGTGATGAATGTTTGTAATGTTCATAGCGTTTTTCCAGAAACGGGAAACGCTGATCTAAGAGCTTACATCTTATCATTGAAATGTAGAAGGAAGAGAGATTTAT